AATGCCAAAAATAACTGTTTTCTCTGTTCAGACTCAGTAAAAAAACAAAAACATCTGTGATCCTTCGTGCTGCCATGAAGCTAGTTGTGACCCAGCCAACAGTCGTGACAAAAATTCAGGAAGTTTTCAGCTGAACTGTGTTTACATAGCTGATAGGAGACACAAAGGGAAGCACATTCAACATTCAGGTAGTAAAATATCTATAGTATGCAGAGACACCGGTTTTGGTAACACATGTGGGCGCTTGAAAAACATCTTCAAGTTGATTCCATTTCTTTTTAATATTTTTCTTAGTATTTTTTTTAAAGTGAATAATCAAACATATTTTACTTTACTTTGATACCTGAGCAGCTGAATAACTAAAAACACCTGCGTGATGCTGCTGGACCTTAAGAGCAAAGAAAATTTATTAATATCACACTTTTATACCCAGAGGCAGCCAAAGTGCTTTACAGAGTTCACAGTAGACGCACATATTCATGAGAACGTCTAAAGCAAACAGAAACCCACAGACTCGATTTAACAGAAAATTAATTAAAAGCAATCACAGTTAGGTCTTTTTCAAGTCTTAGCTCTTCTGGAAACTTGTTCTACATTTGATCGACATAAAGGCACCTTCACCGTGTTTAGTTTTGACTCTTTATAACTTCCTTCAGCAGCTTTGTCGTTTCTCGCACACATTCATAACCTAAAACTGCAGCGTTGCTCATTTATCATCTGAAATTTCTGTTGTACTTAAGTTCCGGGTGTTGTTATTGTTTTTTCTGATATCCAGGTGTGATGCCAGCAGTCCGTACATTCACCCGATTGGTTGGTGCCAGGAGAGGAACCTCCCTCTAACCCCACCCCAAGGTGACCAACGTGTTCCCTGTTCATCAGTAGTTTAAGCATGTTCGTAAACTCTAAAACCAGCTCAGCCTAGTTATCCATCATGTCCTTAGCATTGTCCTTTTGCTCCTTTTTACTTCTGTTCTGGCAAATGTATACATGTGGGTGGAATTTAAATGCAAAGGATGTTTAAAAGAGATTTTACGCTCTGTGCTTTAGTCAGAAAAGATTAGCACAAATTACAGATAAGAAACGTATGAGCTGTGTATTAGTGAGGAGCGAGGCTACGCATATGGAAGGTGGATGAATGTTTATGTTTGTGATTTCTGTCTGCACCAGATTACCCAGACCAGGGCCGGTTCTCCTGGTCTCGGTACCTGGAGGAGACTGGCTCCAAGGCGGTGGCTGCAGACGCCTTTAAAGTGGTGAGAAGAAAGAGTCCATGTTTGCATTTTATTCGCAGTCCTTCACAGTATAAAGAGCCTGAAAACAAAGGAATTCACAAAAATCAGCCATAGCACATCAAGAATTACAGTCTGACAACTTACCAGACATTTTTTACAGCCTCCAGACTAAACAGATCAGTCCTATGCGGAGCTCCTGAACAGAAATCTGAGGGGAAATTAAGAAATAACTGATTGGAGGATGCTGCAGCAGCTACAGTTGGCACAATTTAAGTGTGACTATTACATAAGATATCTTACGCAAATATACTGTTTTAGACAGGGAAAAAGAACATTTTTAAGAAAACAAAATTAAATACTGGGAACTGATTGTTGACAGTAGTCACTGTCTAAAGATCCTACAGTCGTCCTCAAATGTATTCGTCTCCTTCCTTTAAAGAAAAGGCAAAATTCACAACAGTCACTCAAACAACTAGAAACTAAAAAAAGTAATAATAAATAAAAATTTGCAAAATTATAATTTAGTGAAAGAAGACATTGCGTTGAATTGCGGTTGAAAAGAATAATTTAAAAATAATAATAATAATAATGTCCCAGACAAATTAGAGCACTTTGCTGATGAGCAGTGAAATCCAAACACCTGTCAACAGGTGCAGAAGTCTGACTGAGAGTTACAGAAAACACTTTATTGCAGTGATTGGCTCAAAGGGTTGTTTATTTATTATTATTTTTGTCAATTTTCAATTTATTTGACAGCTGTGTTTTTCCTTCTTTAACTGGAGGGTATGAATACATTTGAGGACGACTGTATATTTTGCCCCGTTTCAGCAAATCAATGAAAGTTTCCCGTTTCCCCTGAATGTGTGTTTCAGTTTTTCAGCTCAAATGACCACAGAGTTGGTTAATTTCACCATGACTCTATAACTCCTGGTTTTAGTTTTAGTTCTAAATTGACTGTTTCAGTGTCAGTACCTTTTCTATCGTTTTTTAGCTTTCTCTTTTAATTGGAAGTATCACCGAGTTGTTTTTAATTCATGTGTTTGGTGAGTTTGTCAGACGATATCGTACTCATAGAATCAGTACTTTAGTGGAAGTTATTTTGAAGTCACTGCTGGTTAGTGTGTCGTCTTAATGGGCGGCGTTTTAGCCACAATTTCATACTTATTCTGTTGTCTGAGAGCAGAAACAGATTCATGTGTACAGCTTTATTTTCTACTTTTAATTTGACTGTAAGTGTAATGCAGTTTGAGCTGGATGGTTCATCACTTGGTCAACAGCACTTCAGTATTTTTTTACTGGCTTGTAAAGCTGTCCAATTTCCAAATAACCACAAAACACACAGAAAAAAAGGATTTTCCCAAATGAGACTTGAAACAGCGACTACGTTTGACATGTTTTGCTGTCAAAGCAACATGGCAGTTGAATTTCTATACTTCTGTTGTGCGTCCAGCGAGCAGCACACAGCTTCCAGCCTCAGATGAAACTGGAGGCTGTAGACAAGAGAAGTCCTGGTCTGATCAGAGTGGCCACAGTGGAGGAAGTGGAGACTCATCGCATTAAGGTAATAACTGCGTGTTTGTGTAGCAGTGTGTGTTATGATGATTACCATCTTATATGTGTGTGATATTGTTTAATATTTTTCTTAAGCTCCCTCAGGTCCATTACAGCTTTAACTGAGTGTACTTGCCAGCTTTGGGCCTTGGCACTAATGGTTTTGATGGGCACACTGGAACAAGAGCTTACGTGTGCTGATACCGTAATATACGTTTTTACAGTCAACTCAGGGCCCATTATACCGGTCGGGCTGTGTGGGCTGTGAGTGTGCGTGCACGTGAAGGATTGATATGTGTTGCATCTCCATCGCTGCTCTGCTCGTTCAGGTCCATTACGACGGCTGGAGTCACGTCTACGATGAGTGGATGGACTCAGATCACCCAGACATCCATCCAGCAGGCTGGTGTGAGGCCACTGGTCACCCGCTCAAAGTTGCTCCACGGGACGCCAAAACACAGCAACTACACGGTACAAAATAGAAACTCTGTTTGTGCTTCATTAACATCTGGAGGTTGATTTTTTTTTTTTTTGCACCTTGAGTTAGGAGTTATTACCGATAGCTAGCTTCAATCATAGCAACAGTACATATTTTGTGTGCTGACCAGCATTTGTTTCGTACATAGTTGCTTAAATTTAGCTGCTGGAGTGACGCATCCTACAAACTATGCACAGTCCTGGAACTTTCTGATCAACCCTTGCACATGCGTTTATCCACCTCTGTTTTTACATGTATGTAGGCGTGAGGGAACCTCCTACTACAGGCCAGTCCACCTACCCCTCCTCTGTTCCCTGTAAACCCATCAGCCACCCCAGAACCAACAAGTACAGCTTCCACAACAGGTCAGCCCAACTCCCATCCTGTCATCTCATGTCAGATTTGTTCCACATTATAAAGTCTAGTTTTGATATAACACATGCAGTGGACTCATTAAAGCGGACTCCTATCTTTGGAACAGGAAGTGTCCGACTCCTGGTTGTGACGGTTCAGGTCATGTGACCGGTCGCTTCACCGCCCATCACTGCATATCCGGCTGCCCGTTGGCTGAGCGTAACCAGGGCAGGCTGAAGGCCGACCTGTCCGACTCAGAGTGCAAGAGAAACCTCTTTTTTGGCCAGAGGGCCAAGAAGAATCACTACCGTGGCAGGTAAAGGTGTGTGAGTGAGACCAATGTGTGCAGGTTTGCTTTTACCTCACACTAACCTTTCCCTTTTGTTTTCAGGATTGGTCGTCCTCCCAAATACAGAAAGAACCAGCAGAGAGACTACCAGAGTAAGTTTTGTAAATGTACCATCTACATTTGATTTTAAACGTGTTTTATTAGGTTGTGGGATGCAGGCTTGGTGGACCAGGAGGTAGTCTAGTCTGGAATCAAACCAAATCAGCAAATTTCAATGTTCACTTTTGCTTTTGTATTTTGTGTGAATAATGTTTGCTGCTGTACAAAGGCAGCAGACATTCTGACTCATCATAGCAGGCAAAGCATAAGTGGAATTAACACTGTTAATGCAGCTTAATTAAACTGGATTAAACACACCTGTCTATTTCCTGTTGTTATGTTTCAAAATGGCTGCTATGAAAAAGCCCTATTGACAGCCTCAGTATGAAATATTTAGCTCCAATTATGTTTTTTATGATATGTTTTGGCTCTTACAATGAGGTGGGGTTCAGTTTGCAGGCAGGACTCAGCTGCTGATGGCATTTTTGCACCCAGAGCACTCAGCTATCAGGTTGCCCTCCAATGATGGTTTCATATGATTATTTATCCACAGACATGTCCTCAGAGGGAGTGTATCCGTCGCTGTTCATGTCGGCTCTGAGCGGTCAGTCAGACCGGACTCTGTCTCTCTGCTGGGAGCAGCACTGTAAGCTGCTGCCCGGCGTTCAGGGCATTCACGCCAGCCAGGTGGCAGCATGGAGCGTTGAAGAGGTGAGCAACTACAGCAGCACTGCCTTCATACGTGTTTGTCTTCTTTTATCTGACTTCTCTGGTTTCTGTGCTGTGATGAATTGTAATCTGATGTGTCTGCGCCGCAGGTCTTCAGGTTTGTTCAGAATTTGATCGGCTGTGAAGAACAGGCTCGGCTCTTCAAAGAAGAGGTGAGACCATCAAAAATGTATGGACTGTATGCACACATGGACACAGATGGGCTTCCAGGTGTGCTTACATTTGAAGCAATTCCTTTACTTGACTTCTTCTGCAAATATAGAAACACAAGCACATTAGTGTAACGCAGCTGCCTACTGCAGACTGTTGGGAGTTGACAGCCTGCAGTGAATGTTTCTAACTTGTGTTAAAAACATTCACGTTCACTCTTAAACTTGTATGAAGCCTGAAGTGTCTGCTTGTCTTTTGCTTGTTCAAGACACGTGCATATTTCTGCACATTCACACAACTTAAATTCAAGCAGGCTCCCGGTGGCTACACTTATAAAATTGTTACGTGAAGCACTGTTTCACACAATATGATCTTTCACTTAACTTCCAAGTCCTAGCATTAGTCCAAAGAATTTCACTAGTTTTGTTCAGCTGAAAATAAAGAAACACAAGTATGTGAGTGTAGCGTGGCTACATGGTGCAGGCTATTGAGAGTTTAAATGAATAACTAGTGTTAAAAACACTCCCATTGATTCTTGAACTTACATGAAGCCTTTAAATTCATTTCTTTCAGTGGATTCAACTTAGGAAAATTATTTTTCTTCCTGATAACAAAATGATCTTTTAAGCAAAATACTGCCATTAATATGTAATGTGTCCAGGAGAAAATCTGACTTTAAAATATGAGCTGTTGTAAAAGCAGTGACTGAAATTGTCTGGTTTGGAGGGTGTATCAAACTGTGACACCTGAACAGTTTATGCATGTAAACTAGCACTAGTTAAACTCCTAATAAACGGTCTGGTAAATGGTCTGCACTTATATAGCGCCTTTTACTACCTTAGCGGTACCCAAGGCGCTTTGCAATGTGTTTCACATTCACCCATTCACACACACATTCACACACCAATGGTGACAGAGCTGCCATGCAAGGCGCTAATCTGCCATCAGGAGCAACTTGGGGTTCAGTGTCTTGCCCAAGGACACTTGGGCATGTGGGGGGGGAACCGGGGATTGAACCACCAACCTTGCCATCAGTGAACAACCTGCTCTACCACAGCCACCCATAGTAACGTAATAACATTACATACAAGATATCCTGCATAGGGAGGATGGTCTCCATTGCTAACAAATTAGTCTTGACTCTGCTGACAAGACATGTATAAACTTTACAGAAACCTACTTCATATTCTAGTTATCAATGTACTGTGAAGACACCGCTTGACTCCGCTCCATCGTCTGTTTACTCAGCTTGCTGCATGTGCTGCTGAGACTATTACAAACAAAAGCTGGAGTGCGTTCTGCTGGACAAACCGTGTCCTGATACTGTTTACAGCGACCCCAAGCCTCCTTTTCTTATGTTCTTTCACATCGGACAATACTAGGGCAGCCTAAATATTAGAACATCGTGAAAAAATTCTTTCTTTGTAATTTTATTTCAAAAGGGTCAGCTTTCATATATTCTTTATTTATTACATATAAAGTGAAATGTTTCAAGCCTTTAGATATGTTTTTATATATTCTTTTAAGCTGAAGGCCATAAGTGCTGAAATTAAAATGGTAAATTCTTGAAACATTTTACTTTACATGTAATAAGTCTTGAATACATTAATTTTTTAAAACTTTGTTAAATAATTGGAAACGTTTTCACGATATTCTAATTATTTGAAATTCACTTTTCACAGATTAATCACGTATTGGCATATATGTACGTCGATACATCTGTGATAGGCCGAAATCAGCTGATAAATCAGTCGGGCTGGACATGAGAAGAGTAAAACAACCATCACCTTTGTTCTTCTTTAATGATGATGCTCTCCTGTGTTTGGGTTGTGATGATAACTAACGCTGTCGTTAGATCGCAGCATTACGCCACGTTTGCAGCTGAAAGGTAAACCGTCATCAGCACAAGGTAACACTGACTGTAGGACGCATAGCAGGTGGTGTCAGAAATTTAGAACGTTAACCACCTCCATGTCTCCTCACGCCACCAGATGATTGACGGGGAGGCGTTCCTGCTGCTGACCCAGACCGACATCGTGAAGATCATGAGCATCAAGCTGGGCCCGGCCCTCAAGATCTCCAACGCCATCCTCATGTTCAAGAGCACAGACGAGGGACTCAAGTGATCCCGCCCTCGCTCGCCGGGAGCCGATCATCATGTGCCAAATCCATTCTGTTGCAGGGGAAAAGACCCTGAACCCTTTTTCATGTGTTTGGTGTCCTGTACCCATCAGAGAGGGGGAGGGGGGAGGTGGAAGTGGAAAATTGGACATTATAGATATTTCTGGGGGAACAATGGAAGAATGCTGTAAAGTCGAGAGATTGGTTGTGGAAGCAGGTGAGTGGAAACAAAACAAAAAAAACAAATCTGATTTCAAACGGTGTTCGGTTGGGTATCAGGGTTCAGTTATTACCAAACCCACCAGACATTACTGGCTACGGTGTGTTTGGCTAAAACCTCAAGTAAGTACATTTCCAGACACATGTTTTCATGCTGAATTTGAACTTTAAGCCTTGTTGTTAAAGGTTCTGTATCAGTTTAGAGAGGGCATCTCAACGAGGGATGATTTTTTTTAAAGCATATGTTGGTTTACCTGCTACCCAGATTTAGACAAAACCATGTTTATAACCCCTGACTTTAGCAGGTGAATAAAATATACCTCTATGTTGCTGGTAAATTCCTGAAATACAGGATGAACTCACGGGAATTGAGGAAAACACAAATGTTGTATACAAAAAAAAAAAACAAGAGATGGGACTGGACAGGGGGAAATGTAAGTAAGAGGATTTAAATGCAGTAAGTGAGGCTGGTCAGTGAGGCTCCTGGAAGCTTCACGTTTTGTGCAATAAAGAAGTGTATTCAGTAACACTTAATATTACAGCTCCTTATATTTATCAGACAAATTGTTGCACTGTAACAGTATAAGATAGAAAATAAGCTGCTTTATTCAGACTCTTGGAAAAAGGTTTGTGGCAGAACTTCGGGATCCTTCTGAAGTTATTCGTGTTTACTGCCTCAAAATTCTCCTCGCTTAATGTGAAAACTCAGAGGAGCCGTACTCTTTAAAATGCTCTGGAGTCAGAGAACAGAAACGCCGCCGTTTTTAATCTCTATATGCAAAAGGTCTGAAATTATTTTTTAGCAAATCTTAATAGATGAAACGGACTCTTTGCATTGGCATTTTAGCACAACTGTGAAACCCAAATGATGATATTCCCACACTTGGTCACTAGAGAGTGCAAAAATCCACATTTTTAGCACTATAAACATGGATTTGGTATCTAGCCAGTGGAGCTCTGTGCAGTTTACGCGTGATGGAAACTCCATTAAGACTGTGTTCACCGAAATGTTTACATTTTATGTCAGAGTTGGTTGGAAAAAAAAACAAAAAACTGTATGGAGTTGATATTGTGAGATGAAAGTTGAATGTTTTAAGGGCTCTTGGAATCTCAAATATTACTTCTTTGTGTGTCTCTCTGGTGGGCTTTGTGTGTGTGCGTGTGCGTGTCAAGATAATCTTGGATCACAAATGTCATTCAATCCATATGAATCAATAAACGTCCAAAGCTGTCTTGTCTGATTGATGCCTCTGTGTTCTGTCTCATTAGGGATCACAAACACTGCATTTCCTGTGCTCTGTGCGGGCGTTGTGTGCATTGCACTATTGACTATAAACTTACTTTGCTTATATCACATCCCCCTATTGGCCATATTGTCGTCAACAGTTGTATGTGGGGGTGAAAGCTCCTTCCACACCCTTTCTACCTTCGTTGCTTATCTTCCATTGCAGGTACCAGAAAAACTGGTGTCTCTGATAACCTACTGATGCAGACTGAAAGTTCAAACTCAGCTGACTATAGGCAGGTAAAAGGTTCATACAGCTATTGCTTTAAAAATAAAAGTATGCTCATTTGGACTAGTGGAAAGGTCTTTTTTTTTTCTTTGAAAGGTCTCCTTCCACTCAAAGGATGCAGAATGTGCCGTGCAAAATGCTGAATGTGCAGACTTTAAGACTAAGAGGCTGGTTTTACATCAATCTGCAGAAACAGTGACGTTTCTCTGCGGTCCTTTTAAATCGAGAGATATTAGATGAACATGAGAATTTGTGACATCACAACTACTACGCCAGTTACAACTCAACCTGCAACATAGACAGACATGATAAATAAAACAGAAGCCTCTGAGAAACACTAAGAATGTCACAACAGACATTGTAAACTTTAATGCAAAGAACTGATGTATTTATAGAGTCTGCATATTTCAGTTAGAGAAAAGGTGGGTTTTGCCTTTTATTGCTTTTCACCATTGCCTTTCTATACTTTGCTGCAGTCAGTTTGCCCTCAGCAGCCTTGCAGGACCAGCTGCCGAGAATCATCCCCACACCATGATGCTGCTGCTTCATTTGTGATGATGTTCAGCATTTACCAAACATCTGGTGAACTCTTGTCCAGATTTAAAATTGGGTTTTTCCAACAGTAGTTCTGTCTTTGCCACTCTCTAGTAAAGCTTTGACTGGTGAAGAACAGGCAGCAGTTGTTGTGAGCAGAGTCTGCTCCATTTCACGCTTTGAACTCCTTCAGAGAAGTCATAGGTGTGTTGGTGGTCTCCCTCATTGGTTTCTCTGTTGCACAGTCATTCAATTTTTGACAACATCCTGCTCTCAGCAGATTTATGCATGTGCCATATTCCTTTTGTTGCTTAGTGATAGATTTAACTACCAAGGGGTGTTAAGTAACTTGGACATGTTCTTGTATCCATTTCCTGACCTGTGCTTTTCAGTAAACTTTTCACAGTGTTGCTTGGAGTCATCTTTTGTCTTCATGGTGTAATGAGTGCTGATTCATCCAGACCTTCCAGATACAGGTGTCTTTATACTACAACCACTTGAGACACATTCACTGCACTAAGATGATCTAAATTTCACTAATTGTGCATCTTCTACCACCAACTGGCTGCACCTGTGTTGAAATAGGTGGGTCACTTTGATTAAAAAAAAACAAACTTTCATATACCTTAAAAGGAGCTCTTTAATATGCACCAGGAAGTGAAACAATTCTCAAGTATAAGCACAGAGTAAATTACATAAGTAATCAGCTTTTGAGGCATTTTCACAAACAGAACAAAGGTTTCACAAATCTGAAAGTAGGTATCAGACAGCATGAAGGCTTTACTGAAATTCAGTTGCTTTTTCAGGTAAGCTTTGCATTCCCCCCCTTTTTTTTTCATTACAAATTTGGATGAAAAAAAAAATCTTTAGACTGCTTCTCTTATTTTGAAAGCAAAGAGAGGAGTCTGGTCAAGCAGCTTTTCCACACTTCCACACGCCCACTCTGAAGTCTGCTCCGCCTGGTTTTTAACTTTTCATCAATGATTCACTCTGTTGAAGTCGACCTTCCCTCATGACGTCTGAGGGAAAGACGCTGTGACCTCAGAGCAGCTCCAGCCTCCTGCCGTCTCACAGCTCTCTGTTTTGACTTTCCTCAGTGTCCTGAACTGAACAGACCGACCGCTCTCTGATCTGCTCATCCTCTGCACACAGGTGAGTGACGTGAACTGTTCCTCATGCATAGTGCCTGCTTTGTTTATCATTAGAATAGAGATTATTTTATTTGATGTGAGATAATATATGTACTGTGATGTTTATATCAATATTCAAGAGGTTTGCTAATCAACCTGCCAGCAACCTTATTGTGCAGCTGGTGCAATATTTGGAATATCCCAGAACAGACACATGATATCTGCGATACTTGAGGGTGTTGATGATACTCTGTGATATCGCTGTTTGTGTCTGCAGAGGTCAGGCTGTTGTAAGTCCTCGCAAGTCTGTTATTGTCGGTTTTCTGTCTGCGCTGAGAAGTTTTTCTTGCTCTTATTCACCTCACCATGTTGTGGTTTTCTCCTTCTTTAATGGAAAGTAATAATATTTCTGAGTAGTGAGCTCAGTGTGAGATTATACACGATTAGTTGTCTTTATCCTACCAAACTTAAAGGATTACGACTTTGTTCTGTCAGGGCTTTTAAACAGTTTGGTGCACCAGAGCAGATTTTTTGGAGTTGAGGGTGATTTGGTTGACTGTCTACTCTGAGGAATAAACCTTTGAACAGCCTTCGTGCAGCTTTATGTACCTGTGGAAGATTAAAAGCAGGTTATCATAACTGCCAAGTGGGTGATTATTTTAACCTCCTGTCACGTCCTCTTCATATTCCTCTGTGCTCATATTTATGATTATCTTCTCTGCTGTGAGGACTTAGCTGATTTAGGGAAATCATTTCATTTTTCAGTTGCATAGCGTTTTCTCATAAGTGCAAAGAAAAGCTGCTTTTTTTTTTTTTTTTTTTAATTCACCTCTTAAATAATGTCTATGAACATTAGCACTGTCCTGCCACTTTTTTGCAACTTGTCAACCAGATGTTTTCTTCAGCCAGATTTAAATGTGGAAATATGATTTACAATGTTTGTAAAGATTGGTAAAAAGGTGGAATTATACATATGTTTTGGGCAGCCACTTGTGAAGAGTTCATTTGTCGTGAGTAATTTTGCGTGGGACCGAAACACGTCAGCATAAAATAGTAAGTTGCACTGGTGGAATTAAAAGTGACATTAACCAGTAAAGTTAAAACTAAACTCAGTTTTCTATTTTAACATGAAGTTCTCAACAATAACCTCAGAAATTCATTCGTATGAGTGATCTTTGTTTATTCTGTTTTTGTGCCGGCATTATATTTTTGATTGCCGTCCATCCATTTTATTTTCGTCACAGTCACATCTCAGGATATGTCTTCAAATTTGGCTCAAATGTCTACTCGGACTCAGCAATGAACTGCACAGAATCTGGTGGTCAAAGGTCAAAGGCCATCCAGCTTAAACTTTTAGTTTCACTGGGGTTGGGTCATGGTGGAATTCTACCCCTGTCTGGGAATCCCAAGGAGTTCCCAGACCAGATAAGATATGTAATCCCTCCAGCGAGTTCAGGATCTACCTTAGTGTCTCCTTTTAGTTGGACATTCCTGGAAAACCTCCAAATCAAGATGCTAGTCCAATATCTGAACCATCTCAGCTGGTTCCTCTCAGCGTGAAGGAGCAGCAACTCTACTCCAAGCTCCCTGCAGATGTCAGAGTTCCTCATTCTGTCTTTAACGCAATGCACCCCCACCCTATGGAAGAAGCCTATTTCTGCCAGTTCGATCTGCGATTTCATTCTTTTGGTCACTACCCAGAGCCTATAACCACTGGTGAGGGTTGGAATGTAGACTGACTCGTCTCTTACTACAGTGCAACACAACGGTCTGCACTACTGCTGATGCTGCACCAATCCATTTGTCCATCTCACGCTCTGTTTTCCCATCACTCAAGAAGTTCCAGAAATAATCAAACTTCTTTCCTTGGGAGTGCAACTCAGAACCAACCCAGAGAGAGTAATCTACTAGTTGCTGGCAGAGAACCATGGTCTCTCATCCTGGTTGCCTCACATTTGGCTGAAAACCTCCCAGTAAAGATCATGTCTTGATGAAGCCAACATAACTATGTCATCTGCAAAAAGCAGACACAACTTTGAGGTTCCCAAACCAGACACCCTCCTCAACCGGTCGTGCCTTGAGACCTTGTCCATGTTTAACACTTACGGGAAACATGTTTGACCTTGTGGTGAAACTCTGACATTTTCCAACAGCTCTCACTTTGGTTACACAAGGACTGGATGGCTTGTAGCTAATGCCCCTGTACCCCGTACTCCTGCAGTAACCCCTACAGGGTTCCTCAAGAGACATGATGGTCGACCTTCTCTACGTCTACAAAACACATGTAGACTGATTGGTCAAACTCCCACGACCACCTCAGCTACTCTGCAGCAGTTAAGAACTGATCGTTTCTTAGCCAAAACTCAAGAATTCTTGTGGCTGATTGTGACAAAATTTCACATAAAGAATGACGTGATGACATTTTCTACAAGGCAAAGATCAGAGTTTAAATTCACTGTGACATCATAAGATTATGTGACACTCCAGCCAAAAAACTCAGGAACAGAAGGGAGTTTGTGACCATATTTCACATCTGGGCAGATACTGAATCTTGGGTAATCCCTTTGTAACTGTAGTGACTGTAGATCGTCTGTACTGCCAGGTTGAAAATGTCTGCAAAGTAGAATTTGTAGCTTTTTAGCAGCAACATCCATATTTGAAGCATCGTCTTCTGTCATGGCTACAACTTTGTTCTATTGGAGACAAATTTGTTGGCCAAATGTGAACATATCCAAGGAATCTGACTCAGTTTTATTGTTTCTCTCCTTGAACTAAGACACTTCACAGTCTTCACTATATTCTATGTGTGGACAGATGAGGATGTAAACTACCACCTGATTGGCTAGTGAAGGCGTAAAGCCCAAACTCTAGATGCAGGGAGTTGTTCAGTGGATAGTCGGACCAATTCTGAATAAAATCTGTAATTACTGCAGACATTTCACTATTTTTATGGGTGGTTTAACCCTTTGTGGCCTCAAAATACCCATGCATAACATCTCCCTATAATTACAGTCTAATAGAAGTAATAAAAAGCAAAGTGTCGTCAGATCTTTTGCCTTTATGCCTATAAATAGATAAACAGGCCTGAAGCTACTGAGGAAAAACCTGATTCACATAAATGGAGCTTCTGTTTCATTTGCGTGTGTGTATGTGTGGGAGACTTTGCTTACCCCGTATTTTTCGACAGATGTGAAAATGACACTACAATATTTACTGTGTAAACATGGTCACTGACACGGACGCACACTGTTGCGTTTCCATCACTTAGGAGGACATTGCATTGGTTTGCTTTAATTTCCTGCTGACTTACCCGGAACAAAAAAAAAACACAAACCAACCTTCCTTGAAGCTGAAACTTAATGATTTACATTGTGTGTAAGCATTTATGTCCCCAAAACATTAGCAATGGAAGCACACACACACACACATGCTCACTTATCTATACTGTATATACGGAACAATATGCAATTTATCCACACTGTCCCTCATTGTCTTTCTGTTGTTCCAGCATCTCGCTCCTCACAAACCAGAACTACCAGCTTCTCTGGATCCTCAGGCTGTCAAACTGAGGTCAGCAGCTGATTTGGAAACACACACACACACAACGAGACACACGCGAACACACAACAACGGAAGAAATCAAGCAGCCGGTTTCCTCTGAGTCAGTGCTCATGATCAGAAATATGTGAAATGAGGAAAAAGCTTGATTGAATCCCAAACCACAGACCGGAGTTGCACAGCTGCTGACCTTCTGAACGTCAATATTTTTCCTCTCACAGGCGCGTCAAGTACTGATGCTGAGACTCCAGTAGGAATATAATCGCCATGGCACAATGTAATGTGAGTATTTTGCAGTTTTTGTGCTTTACATCGTTAGTTTCCCATTTTAAGAACATGTCTGGAGTGTTTGTGGTTCATGTTATTGTTCTTTCATGCCTTATATTGTATTAGACAGTGTCATATCATGTCAAGATAGCTATATAGTATAAGTAGGTGGGTAGTAAAGAGTCAGAAATGCAAAAACAAATTCCTGAAATGCATTAACTCTAAACCCCAAGCAGTTTTTTTCTCCTGTTTGCCTTTTTCACTGCAACATAAAGTCCTAGACCTCTATGAAAACAGCACAACCATGAGTAGAAGTAGAGAGAACTCAGAAAAGTCTTCTGTGCACGATAACAAAATGATAATGCTCTAAATTATTTTAACAAGAATGAAAGAGTGATTACTTACAAAAATAAGGTTCGAGTCACTCATTTATTGTAAATGTAGAATAAAGTGATTTAGCTAAAACATCACAATTTGAAGCTCAAATTAAATAGCACATCACAAAATATTAGTTTATAATCCTT